TAAAATTACATATTTGATTCCTTCTTTATGATAACATCAGTTAGTAGAGGCAGGAAATTGGGTACTTCAAAATGTTCAACTTAACTCCAAATTCCTTTATATTCCATTGTTTCAATCTTGTTCTCCCATTAACAGAAGTTTTTAGGTAATCAATAAGAAATTCACTAATCTGACCTTTGCCTTCTCTTATTTTTCTGTCACCTTTAATAGCTAATATGTATAAAACTAGCAATGTTTGGGCAGTTGTTTGAAGGAGGAGAATTAAGATGTGCATAATCCGAAATGTATAAGCATCTTGATAATTTAGAGTTTGGTTACTCCCTTCAAGTATGGAAAGTGATACCCAGATCAAAGTCCACTGGAGATACTTTTGTACAGAAGGCCAGATGCAGACAAAATTGTGCACTTAAAAGAATTAAAATTATCCAAAAACATTTCATAGTTTTCTTTATATTTGTAAGCAGGAAGTCTTGGTCTTTTTTTCTCCCACTTCAAAGCATAAAATGTAGAGATTCATATATATAATTATATATACACACATATATGAATATATACACATACTTTTCTATATGAATATATATGTATGTATATATACATATATATTTACAAAGATAGATACATTTTGGTCAAGTAATGATAATCTAGTCCCTCAAAAAATTGGTTTTTATATCTAATATAAAGGTTTTATTTTACATAGATATTTATAACTGAAATCCTTGACCTGGTAAATACCAATCAATCAATAATAAAATAGAAAGCCTCTGTTTTCAAAGATATTATCTGTTATTAATTTAATGGCAACTGTCATCATTAGAAACTCACCATATTAGAAGTTGTTCTCTTTGCCGAAAAATGAGAACTTTCCTGTGTTTTTGCAAAACAATGATTCACATAAAGTTGCAAAGAGACCCTAATTGGAATGGTAACTACTAGTTGACCCATTAGGTTGAAAACAGAGGCATTGAATCTGCTTATCGTGATGGGAATTTTTCCCCTTTCTTTAAGGTTCCAACACCTACCTGAAATACCATCCATTAAACCTCATCAGCAGTATTTAATACTTTACATAGCTTACGCAAACTTGTCCACAGAATGGTTGTTTGCCAAAAATAAATATTTTGTACATTAGCTTTGGTTAGTGTTCCTTTTCTCATTTCAAGGCTGGTGGCTCATAGCAACTTTTAAACAACCTACACAAAAGTTGTAAAAGCACTATGGTGACAATCTACACAATGAAGTAAAAGTTACAGGTTTTGGTGTGTATTTTAAATTAAAGGACTCTTCAATGTTTACTTCCCACCTCTGTTCAAATTGGGCAATCTGTCGGCTTTGATTAATGGGTTGGGGAAAGAAAGAGTTGGCAGTATTATTTAAGGGGAAGCAATTTCTCTATGTCTGCTTCTCCTTCTCATATTTATTATAGGAAATGGAAAAGAATATATCCCGCATGAAGTCAAGGAGATAGACCACTGTAAACCATGTGGGGATAGCTAAACTTAAGCCCACATTTCAGGTGATTAACAGAAAAGGTGCAGCCTCTATATCACAACCAAGGGAGACCTAAGACTTCACAATAAAGGGATTTTAACGGAGCCCACCTGAGTTGACTCCCCCACTTAGAGGAAAAAACAAGTCATAGGAGCATGAGACTCTTTTCTTCTACTTCTCCTCCTCCTCCTCCCTTTCCCTCTCCCCTTCCCCCTCCTCTTCCTCCTCCTCCTCCTCCTTCTTTTTTTTTTTTCCAGTCAGGTAGAATGGAAACTAGATTTTAATCTCTTACTAGTGGGATGCTCTTAGATAAAATACCTCTCAGTCTGCATAATGAGAAGAGTAAGACCTAACTCTCTGAGTTGTGCACAACAGTGAGATGGGGAACAATTGGTGCCTAGCACATGACAGGTACGCAAAGATAATAAGTTCTCATCTGGTTTCCCTTTATTCCCTGTAAATTCCTTGTTTATACCAAAGATATTGGGACTCTCATCTGAGGCATAATTTCTTTTCTGTGTTTGAACATGGAAGTTAAAGTTGTTAAAACAAATAAAGATGGTACTATCTGGCCAGCTTCAACCCCACTCTCTTTGCATGAGAATCCCTTGAAAAATCATCCTAAGCCATTCATAAATTTAGGGTTGACTGGAGAATTTGAATTCCTATACACTATAACTGATATCTTTGCCCCTCTACAATACCTAAGGCAATACTATAAGCAAGGTGTTTCCCTATTTAAAAGAATATTTCCAAATTAGTTGTGGAGACACTAACAATACATTGTGATTGTGGCATATGGTGGTTTTTGGCCCTGTGAATGACAGCTGATTGAATGTCAGCAAGCAGAATTGAGCAAATTTGATGCTGGTGATAAAACATGGTTGTACCAACAACAGCTGTGTCATCCTTCAGGGAGAAGCTCTGGGTAACTGCTGAAAAAGAGAAAGGAATGGTACAAACCAAAAAGTTCAGAAGCACTCAGATGGTCTGGTAAGTTAGGTTTTGATCAAATAAGTCCTGTAAAATACCAAAACTATGCTTGTGTTTAAAGTAACAAAACGTATAGACACTTCTCTAAGAAAAGGCAATGATTTAAGCCAACCCACGGAAAACTCTGATGTCTCCCATAACACAGCCTCCTACTAAAGAATTTAGGGTTGGGGCACCTGGGTGGCTCAGTGGGTTAAGCCTCTGCCTTCGGCTCAGGTCATGATCTCAGCGTCCTGGGATCGAGCCCCACACTGGGCTCCCCACTAAGCAGAGAGCCTGCTTCTCTCTCCCTCTGCCTGCCACTCTGCCTACTTGTGATCTCTCTCTCTGTGTCAAATAAATTAAAAAAAAAAAAGAAAAAGAAAAATAATTTAGGGTTGAATAGGACCCTAATGTGTCCCACTCAGGGGTTTCTCACTAGAAGTACCAGAGGCCTAGTAGCATTTACGCTTTTATTTTAGTCTTCTGAAAACAAAATATTGAGGGTAATGCTTAAAATAGTGTTGGTAGGAGATTTCACAATTAGTCAATACTCTGACGTTTAGGTCTATAAGATTTCCAATTAGTGATTAGTTCCTTGCATCTTAGAGTAGTTGAGCAAATACATGGAAAAGCTCTTTTTAAAAATTTTTTCCAAGAACAAACATGTCATATATGGAAACAATCCTTTGCTATATTGACAACCATATAGCTTTGTATTAAGTCAAGGTGAAGTCAGGAAGAGCACGCTCTGAACAACAGACTGTAGCAGTTTTTTTTGTGAAAACATTTTAATTTCTTTCATTGCTATGCCCTGAGGTAAGTGTTTCTGAACCATAATTTGTCTTTTTCTGAACAGACTTGATGTGTTTTGTGGAAACTGTTTTTGAATAAAAAGCGTCTTCAGACAGGGGGCAAAAAAACCTTTCAACATTTTTGCAGTTATACAAAGAATTGTATGAGGCACTCAGCACATTCAGTTTGGTCAGCAATTCAGTTAGTCCTTTGGCAACTGACTTGTGTTTTATCCCCCATATGGCTCTGTTTTGAAAAGAATTATCTCATTTTCTAGTCATTCTCTTATCTCATCTGCAATGTCAATTATCTAAATAAAACATCTTAAATATGATGCAAATAGGCAGAACTCTTTCCCCTTCTGAGTCATAGCTATAGCTCTGCTTTTGTGCAATTAATTGGGAGATAAAGTTAAATTTTAAATAGGAAGTCAGAACTAAAGATGCCCAGTTGAACCACCAGCTCAGTTGAACAAAGCTTCATTTTTATATTAACAAGCATATAGCACGGTTTTCCTCCAGACACCCAACCCCAGCAAAAACGTTTATGTCTCTCTTTCTTAAGAATGCTGTGGAACAGATTTGTTTAGGCCAGCGGCCTGGGGCAGTGAACTGAGCCCTGTCTCTAGGGATCCAAATTCTAATCCTCATCTCTAACTGGTGTGGGACTCTTATGTAATATGTTTTCTGGGCATCAGTTTTCTTACCAAAAATGAATATAAAGGATGTTAGGATTTCTAGACTCTCTTTTGGTATGCCTAAATACTGGCATATGTAAGGTTAGGAATTCAATGTGGATTGATGAAATATTGTTTCCTCAGATTTATCAATGTTATCATTAGACCCACACCTACGGCCTTATCTCCCAGCCCCACCCCACAGAGGTGCCAGATTCCTTTTCTTTTCTGGCAAGACTAGGTCCGCTTTTTCTTAACTCTCTTCCAGAGGGTTTCTTACCTCATTCTCTTCCCCTTTCATTATGTTTACTTCATTTTATTCCTACTTTGAAATCTTTTAGAGCTTACTTTTAGCATATTTCATCCTTGTGAATGCTGTTAAATCTAAAGTCTTATTTTGTATAAATCTTTAGTAATTCTTAGTGCTCTGTCGCTGCTTTATTCGTTTCAGCTCCTTTTATTTGGTCTTACATTACAGTGCAATTAGTGTATTTTTGGTGCCTTTTGGTGACTACAGTGCCTTATGGCCTAGCTTCTTTCTCCTTGCTTTTTTTTTCTTTTTTCTTTTTTAAATGTCCACCTAAGTCTTGGAAGTTACTAGTATGACCGTTTCTTAAAAGTGTAGCTTTAAAAGCACAAAATGAATTGAAACAATGTCCATATCTGGAACTGAATAAACATTTGACTTCCTCACTTAAAGTTTTTTCCCACTGACTCAGATTGGGAAACAAAAAACAAAAAACAAAAACCATTATGTAGTCATCTAGATCAAAGTCCTACCATTGAGTAGTATGATAACTGATATTCATTCAAACTGTTAGGTGCGCAGGCGTGTCGCTGGGAGGGACTTCACCAAGATGACAGCTGTGTGTTTCTGAGTTCTTTTTGACATAGGAACTCAAGTAACTTTTTTTTTTTTAATTAAAAATTTAAAAAAGCAAATAAAAGAATAGGTTCTCATTGATTATACCTACTTATGGGCCAAAAGAGCTGGTTATTATCCAACTCAGTCATCATGAATATCATTGTATTTCCTCAAGTACTTTTGGCTTCATTTCCTGTATTTCCTGTTACCTGTTTGATTGCATGGGGAAGTTTGCAGGCTGAGGTCCATCCAGCACGGGGCAGGAAGCATGCAATTCAAAAGGCCACCTAGAGCTGAAGACAGACTCCAGTTCAATGTTAGGTTGTTTCCCTGAGCTCACTTTTGGTTTCTCAAATATTGCGGGTTTTTAAATCTCCTATTCAAATGCCATTAATTTTGAAAATGTAAACTACCATGGAGAAATACAGTCCCTATGTCCGCTGTCATTTTCACAGTGTCTAATGGGTTTACTAGATAAAAAATATTCGTTGTTCTTTAGTCTTCATAATATTTTTCAAATTTCCACTTTTGGTATTGCTTCTCTGGGTCACAAGCAGCAACTTTCAGGGTCTTCTGAGAAACATTTCCTTCTAAGCATAACAACTGATGATAGTTCCCAAAAACAATGTGATTCACCTGGAAAGAAAGGGGATCTGGGAATGAGCCACACAATGAATTTGACAACTGAAATATAAAGAAACGAAAACTAATAAAAAAATTATATTTTTGATTCATTAGGAATTCTTCTGAACTAAATGAACAGCATGAATATAGTCTTTGGACTGTATTAAATATGTCTCCATCTCAAACTAACTTCTCACTTCTTCAAGCTACAGGGCTTTTAAGACTTTTATGACTTCCTTAGGGAGGAAGCAAAAGATTTATTTTCTGATGATGGGTCTGGTAACTGTATTATTTAAAGGAAATAATTCCATATGGCATTTGCTATATTTGATGGATGATGGCTCTCTAACTGATGGTGGTCATGAAAAAACAACCATCACAAAAAGCGAGTCAGTTAATTTCTTAATTAAGTTCATACCTTTGAAAGCAAACTTAGAATACAAAGTGCCAGAAATTGTGTATTTATTTATAAGCTATCCACAATAATATCTGATAGTATGTAATGCCTGATGTCCAGAAAATCCAGTTGTAATTAGAAAAAAATCAAAGGTATTTCAGAGTTCTATTATTTGTTAATATTTATTGAATATCCTAGAAATAATAGATAACCAACTTAGAACTTGCTCATGACTTTATACTTTTTTTAACCTATTAATCCTCTCATTTTTTCCATGACTATGACAAAGATAATCTTAATTATATGTATATTATTTTGAAATGTTTTAAAAAAATATAACAAATAGGGGTAACTTCCTAATAGTGTATTTTAAAGATATTCCTACAAAACCATTGTTATCCTTGTAGGACTTTGGAAATATGATGTTTGAGTATGCTCAAGGTTTTGTAAAGGAGTTGGCCTTGAGCAAAATCATCCTGGATTATCTACAACATTTTGCCAGTGGATTGTAAAGAGGTAATTGAATAACTTGTCCCCAATCTAAAGATACTTGATGAAGGGACAAGTGGTGGAGGGTCATTCCATGTCACAGTACATAGGAACTACCTATGAAAGAATTTCCTCTTAGGGGTCTATAATCCACAACACTTGGAGTGATCTGGCCTAGAGAATATCTTTCAAATGTAGATTAGAAATGTATAATTTTAACAATTCATTGGTATTCAGGATCAAACTCACTGTTACCCTATTTCCTTCTAAGAAGCTCTCAATTCCTAATGCTAAAGGGAGAGACATGTTCCTGTTATTCAGTCTTTTTCTCCATTTATTTTTTAAAGACTTAACAAGATATGGAAGACTCAGGAGGTTTAGTATGAAAATTACCAAAATACTGAAAATATAGGGAAGACTATTATCAAGATATTAATCTCCATGACATCTAGCAGCATGGAAAGGGGAACTTAAGGCAGAAGAAGACAGCTGTGTGACATGCTACAAATTCATAAGCACAAACAGCATCGGGAAACATTGAATTATTGCCATCTTAATTAAATTACTGTCTTACTAATTGGCTTGCCATTTAGAGGGACCAAAATTAAGCCTATATGAAAATCAGCTAATGAGGGCTTAAGTTCTCAGTGGGGCCAACCCAGTTTATAAATAAGACCTATGTGATTTAAGGGCTGCTGGCTCCTACATATTTATTAACTAGCTTGAATTTTCTTCTGGTAACAGATTCATTTCCGGAGATTAAAAACGTGTTCTCATTCTCATCCTTTCTCACCCCTGGCCCAACCTCCAGCTTTCTTTGGCATAAGGTTAAAGAAGCAGAAGGTAATATTTGATAGATGTTTATGGATTTTTCCAACATTATGCAACATAAAATTAGTAACTGGTACACTACTAATTCCTAATTTTTCTAAATAACTCAATAGTAGTCATTATCACTAAAAAGAAAAAAAAAATGAAAGATTGAAAGGGAGAAGGGGATTGAAAGGGAGAAAGACTGGGTAATATGATATTGACCCCAAGTAGGAAGAAAAATGCCATGGAGTAGTCACTGATTGTGACATCAAAAAAAATGGAGGCACTTCAAGGAGGAACCAAAGTGCTTACTGTGGCGACAATCCTGAGCAAAATGATGGTCTTCGTAAACCCAGTGTATTTTATGGATTTGGTGGTCACTTGCAGTGAGATAATAGAAAATTTAAGAAGGTTGACCTGAAATTATTTTTGTCACCTCAAGATCTTACACCAAAACTTATCACTTTTTATCTTGTTAAAATAGAATTGGGGAAACCGATCACAACTTTAACATTTATCATTTTGGATAGAGCAGGGGTGGTCTGGTAAGTATTAATAACTGGACCTCTGGAAAACCATCCCTGGATTAGTAGCATAGGGTTGTGTAATTTCTCCCACCATGGCTGGTTTCAAGCTTTCAGGGTGATGTCACTGAATGTGATGTTGGGAAGTGCACGCGGCACACTGTCAGCTCCTATGACAAGCAGGTGGGAGCTGCCTCCAACACCTGTTGAGGCCCAAGTCTCTGGGAATGAGGGGGTGGGGGGTGAGAAAAAGTCTCCCTTTATGGAAAGGAGTTAGAACACTGAAAAGCAGAGTCATTCTAAAGTGCAAAGCTTGTAGGAAGTACACTGCTTCTTGCTTTCCCTATATACTTTCCTTCAGGCTTCTCTGATAACCAGTGAGAACCAGTTCTAGCCCATAAGCAGGATTTTTGGCATTGTTAGTTGACTGAAGCGAATGACTTATAGAAACAAAGATGCTGATAGCAATATAACCAAAGCAACGGGTGACTTATGTTTAAAAAATAACAGATTTGAAATAAATTTTGTAAAAGAAAAAAAGGACTTGACAATTTGCAAAAATATCTGTTTATCTCTCTGTATGAACTTTTTACACTCCCTCTTTTGCCATAAACACATTGAAAGCTTCCCACTGAGGACGCAGACAATGAGAGTTTTAAGTCCCATTTAACCGGAAGTTGGATTTGCGATAAAGAAGAGGTACCCGTATTTTGCTTACCAGCTCTGGTTGGAAGACTGATGTTGATTTATGCAGCCATCTTAGCCCTTTGTTTCTGTTATCACAAGGGTGCAGCCTCAGGGCCCCAGTTTCAGGGACAGGAGCTAAGCACCACTCTCCATGTTTAATAAGTCTTAGCCAGGTGTAATTGAATTGTTGAAGCTGTCGGGAAATGAACAAGGAGAAGGTCACTTTAGGCAGCAGATACAGGTAGGGGCTCTGCCAAACATTTTGGTTAGTGGTGATTAAGGATATAGGCACTTGGGTCAAATGTTTTGTACCCAAATCCCAGTATTGTCACTTTCAATTCTGACAGCATGGGTATATTATTACCATATTTAATTTCATTTTTATTATTTTTAAGTTGGATAGCAATAGGGAGTATCTCAGAGAGTTGAGGTAATGACTGTGAAGTTACTATAAGCCCTCAATAAACATTAGCTGCAATAATAATAATTATTTAGTACAGTTAGTGTGTATCTGCAAATGGAGGTTATTTCAGGTGGTCTGAATCCTAGACAAGCCTGGTGCTTGAAGTAGTGGGACATTCAAACCATGTGTAGCCATTAGGGCCATAAGGAGATCCAAGTCACAGTCCCAAGTTGCTTCGGGGGAAATTATTATGCTTCTTTGTTTAAGACTATCCAGATTACCAGATTCCTGGAGGTTTTGTAGGAAAGGCTAAAAATCTTTCTTAAGACTAAAAAAATGTTCCTATTTTAAGAAAGGTTAAAAATCTTTCTTTGCTGATAGCAGAAAGAATCATCAGGTTCTGCTCTGTTAGCATCCCGTGGTTCATAAGAACTACTCTTGGGACAAGTCCAGTTTTGGGGAGTTGCCAATGTCTAAAATAAATACTGATTCAGGTAATGGAACCATGTTTTCAGTTTTTATAAGTAATTTTTCCAGTTACTTACACCCTAGTATCGTCTGCCTGGTCAGTTTATTCTAAGTCTGTGGGTCTGCGGGAAATTTGTTGTTTCTCACCAATGTGAACATAAAAAAAGTAGACTGCTGGTAAAAATCTATCTAAATGCCTTTGTGTAGAGAATCATTTGTGATGTAATTGAGATTTAACTTAGATCATCAGGTATGTCATTGGGTTAGACCTCACCACTCAAAGGGTAGTCTCTGGACCAGCAAAAGCATCACCTGGGAGCTGGCTGGAACTGCTGAATCTCAGCCCCACCATGAACCTATTGAATCAGAAATCTATATTGCAACAAATTTCCAGGTGATTTGTATGCACATTAAAAATTGAGAAGCATGGTCTTATGTCATAATAAAAGGAAGTTATGTGGGTACTAAGAGAAGCTAGACATTACCTTTAAAAGGGACATCTCAAATGGTTGAAAAGTTAATAGCTAAGGGGACTTTCTAGGTAAAGTGAAGGTTAAGGCTTGGTGGTTCAATCCTCGGGCTTTATTCCTTTAGAGCTTTTTTGGATGAATGCTATAAACTGGCTTGGTATTAAACTTCATTAATTCTGCCAAAATAAATTAACTTCCTCCAAGTCTCTTTACTTTTTGTTATTAAGACAAACTACAAGCTAAAAACGAGGAACAAGACAAGAAGGCAGATGGGGATTTGTGGAAAGCAGGGGCTACGTATTCATACTTTTGCCTCCCAGTATCCCCTTGAGAGCCTCAGTGGTTATCCAGACCACAACTTGGGTCTTCAGATAAAATCCTGGTTAATCAGGTACAGAAAATCACAAGAAGAATGCGTCTTGAAGGACTGAATTAAATAATACCTTACTTTCATATAATTTGGACTACTTATGGTTTTATTTTGCAATTTATGATTTTATTTCCTCTTTGAATTGTTAATATGAGTTATATCTTTCAAATGATTTCTGACATGTTTCTCTTCCTTCTACCTCCTCTCTTTCCTAATTAAGAAAGAGCTTCCTCAGCCTCAAGTTTACAGTCCGTAGCTGAATTGTAACAACAGAGAGGACAAAAATGTCTTTTCCGTTTTAAATTAAGAGGTAGAGAGGAGATGTGGTCAGAAATAGAAGCAATATCTCTAAGTCAAAGCAAACAGGTAAGCCCGGGGAAACCTAGATTCTCACCACAAAAGAATTTCTTTACCAAAGAGTGATCTACAATTTTAGGAAGCTGAGTTCTACTCATGAGTTGATGTTTCTATGAGTTCATTTTGGCATCCAAACCAATAATATCTGCACAGAATGAGAATGGGTGGGGCACATACACTGAAGAGGGAAGTACCATCACTCAGAGCTCACCTCCAGCTCTGCAGAGTCCCTGCTCTGGGTGTCCCTGGCCCTCCTTCCTCCCCTAACCATTGTTTTCTGAGTTTGTCAGAGATTGTTGAAGGGTTTCCACCATGGATCATGGATTATGTAATTTGCATTACTCTCAATATGTAGGAGAACTGAATCAACAAAATGGCTCCCTTAGATTATTTGAAAATATTCTCTGCCTTTATTTCCTTTATTATTTTACCTTTAGATGTAATTTTTATTTTTCACATTTTTTGTCTTTATTATTAGAACAATAAATGTCTATGGAGCACTGACGGTTAAGTACTGGTCTATATGCTTCATCTGTATGACATAATTTGATCCGCAAACCTGATTTAGGGGTTGGCTCTGTTATAACTGCTGTTTACCTAAAAGTTAAAGGATTTGCAAAGTTAACGCACTTGAAAGTGATGGAACAAGAACTGGGTCCCTGGTGGGTTGACTTTGGTATGCATAATTTTACTCCCTTAGTCACTATCTTTACATTGAGTGGTGGGCTACCTTATCACCAACCTTATGATCATGCAGCAATTTATAAATTAATTATTGTTTGTACAGCAAAAATGAATTTCTCAAGTGAGCAGTAAATGTACCACACTCTGCACTTATCAGGGACACTTGGACCATCTATCAACTGTGTCTGTGATGAGAGAGAAAACCCAGCCCAGCCGGTACCTTGCTGCTCGCATCACAGTCTTCCAAAGTGGCTGTGGTGTTTTCAATGGAAATGCATTTGCCCAAGGCCACATTAATAAGCTAGGGAACAAAATATAAAATATGCATTAAGAAAAAAAATATTTTAATGTAGAACAAGCCATTCAGAAAGCACAGACGATAAAACTATAATAAGGTTAAAAGATAGTTAAGTTGATAGCTTAGCATTGCTTAGCACTATACGATTTTATTGGTTGCTATCTCTAACAGAGACATAATGTAATCTTGCTAAAGTACAGCTTCAATCTGTCAATTTAAACCTATGATTCAGCCTCAGAGCCAACAAACAGAAGCTTTTAATTAACCCTTGCCTGGAATGCTGAATAGGGAATGAGCAAAAGGTAGCATGAAAAGTAGTTATTTTCTTGTCTCAAGTTTTTCTGATGCATACATTAAAAGTCAATGCACAGACTTGCAATTTAATCAAACCAACAGTTATGGGCTCTGTTCCCTGGCTGACCCCTTTAAGCAATTTCACTGCTTAGGCACTGAATCATAGATAAATTGAGTCCAAAGAATAGCAGATTCCAACTGATTCCCTGTCAGAATCTTCCTAATGACTCAGGCAAGCCACAATTCATTATAGGAAAGTCATGAAAGCTAATACAGAGCCAACCTTAAAGGCACTATCTGGCAGGCCCCCAGGTTTTTAATGGATTTGCAGGGTCAAATATGGAGGCAGCTTTCTATAAGTCACCATTTAATGCAGAAAAATGTTGATTCCCTTGTTCCCTTTGACATCTTGGGCAAGGCTAACAAGATGGTGAGTTAACGGTGCAATTTAGACTTCTTAGATTTCTGGAAGAGCAGTGTAGAGTCAAGTCTACACTCAGGAAAGCCTTCTGAGCTGGGAGGTGGCGAAGTCTATGTTGGCAAGGACACTATTTGTGCCCCGTCCTCTTCTGCGGGTGTTGTATGATATAGCTGTGTAGATCAGAGTTGAAAGCCTTCATGACAGGGTGCTCTTGGGGTTGCCCTCCCTTTTACATGCATAGTTTAGCTTGCAAGAAAATCAGGGGCATCTTCAGGGACCAGAAAATGCAGAAAATGAAGTAAAACAAAACCCTTTAGAAAGTGGGAAAACTGCAAATACTGGTAGGCAAGGGACCAACATTATTAAGGAGAGGAGAAAAAACATGGGTAAGCCAGAGGGTTGGAACTGCAGTCTTTCACATAAAGATGGATGACTAAAGATTTAGACCCTTAGTAGAACCGTGTCCTAGGAAAAACAATTTACCCTGTAGCACAGGGAGACAACATGGTGGCTAGAGTCTCCCTTGGGAATCCGAACCTTCTGTGGACCTTCATCTGGGTTTGAGATACAAGTTTACTCTACTTCCATTGGATAGGAACTCTGACAGACATAAAAATAGTACCAGGTTGGGGGTCCCTGGGTGGTTTAGTTGGTTAAGCATCTGCCTTGGGCTCAGGTCATAATCCCAGGGTCCTTGGATCCAGACCCACATCAGCTCAATTCCAAGGCCTGCAGCAAAAGGCTCATGCTCAGTGGAAAGTCTGCTTCTTCCTCTCCCTCTGCCCCCCTCTGCCAGCTCACTCCCCCCACCCTGCTCTCTCTTAAATAAATAAAATAAAATCTTTAAAAAAAAAGTACTAGATTGGTTACTTCTTGGGTGGCTGGCATGTGAAACAAATCTAGAAGGACAGAATTTCCATCAGAAATCTTCAGAGAAAGCTCTATTCACAATGTAGTGACAAATATGGGAAGAGACTATCCACCAGTAGTAAATGGAGCCGTCAGGATGCACAAAAGGAATTAACTTCAGAGAAGAGATTTAATTGAAATGCATGAACGTAGGATAATCCTGGAGATTAAAGAAAGGAAATGTGCTCCAATTGTTCTCTGGATTTTAACAGAGATAAACATAAACTTCTGTATTTGTGGATTACCCAGAAAACATTCTCTCTTCCCACGGGTTTAGAAACCTGGTTTCAATACAGCTGAACAGGTTGTACTGCTCCAGAATCTCACAGAACTTTCAGTACGTTAATGTTTAGCTCTCTGCTGTAAGAGGGAATGCAGCGTGAGCGTCTGCCAAGTATATTTGGCCCGGGATCCTATTTCTGGCAGCACAACTAACATTGCCCAAAGCAGTGTATGGGAACCCCTGGTTTAACTGATTTCTTTGTATTTATTTTGTACAGTCCCGTCTGCCAAGCATAGAAAAGCATTAGATAGAGGGGGAAATTTTTCTTTCCCTTGCTTTCTGCCACCCTTCGCTTTCTCTGAAGATTTGTTTCCCTTCTTCCCTACCAGAAATTTCTGGAGAAACTACTTTTCTTCACACAGAAATGATTTATGAACTCCTAAGGAGTTGTTACTCTTTATCTCATTATGAATGGTTTTAAAAATTGATTCTTCATTTATTTTCAAGGAATTATATTTATGCTTTTATTGTAAACCATTTCAATCTTTTTGAAAAAAAAATCAGTCAGTATATAAATTTTAAATCACCCATTTTGAATTATTTCACTTTCCAGTTTAGGAGGTGGAGTTCCCCTCAGTTTATCACAGAATTACTAAACATTGGGCTATAGGCTAGTTGCTAAGCATCTAATTCAATACAAAGACACATTATTAGTGAGGTTCTCTCATTCATTAAGTATTTTTGGTTCAAAAAGATCTGATATGTTCTTATAAAAAAAAAAAAAAGAAAAGGAAACAAAAGACCTTGCACTGGATTTAAATTCCTAAATTAGTTGAAAGAAGGAAAATGTGGAGCAAATAACAAAAAGTTGTAGAGTTTATTTTCTTGGGACTTTTCAAAACTGTCTGTTCAAAATAATGGTCAAGTTAATCTTAGTCTGAAATGTCTGGAAAATATCTTTTAAAAAAATATATTAATAATGCTCCTTACTGGTTATTTCAGAAGGCAGGAAATGATATCTTCTTTATGATTTGTGTAAGGAAAGCAACAAATAGAATTTTAAAAAATAATTTAAAAAATATTTTCTGCATTTTAATATATTATAGCTCAGACATCAGCGGAAGGCTGTTTTAAGAGCGTTTCAGAAATTTTCATGGGAACGCAATTATAAGTTAACCTCACAGAGGAGGCAAAAGGTAGTTTTTTAGTTCCCTCTGGTGGTTAAAGTTCAGTAATGCTCTTGCTGAGAGTCTGTCAGGACAGGAAAAAAAAATTACTATGGTGAGAATTTCTTTTTTTCTCACTCAGGAGTTAGAATTAAAAAAGAAAAATGTAAATTTATTTTACAGACACATTTTTTGAACAGCGTATAAATCCAGGGTATTCTTTCTAATGGGTTACCTAGAAAAAAACACCAGGTTGAACCACCAGAAATAGTTGCTATTCTATTTTGACCTATAAAAATGACAATTTTATACTACATTATGTTACATACAAACAAGTCACATGTACTGGTTTGTCAGTCGAATTTTTTACATTTTCTCTCTTCCATACTCTTCCAGAATTCTTCCCTGTACTGTCAGGGAGAATGGCTCTACTAAGTCCTTGTCATCAGGAAATTTCCTAGGCGGAGAGTGATCGATTTGTACAATTCACTTTCTAGGGAGAACTGAACAAAAATGGCCTAAGACAGCAGACTTACTGATGATCAAGCCTGAGAACCTCTTTTATGAAGAAAAAGAAAATTCTTAAAGAAAATGAAATAATGCCAGGAATATTTATAAATAAAAATAAATGAGAAAACAATAAAACAGATTAACCGTATGCATGACTGGGGAAGAGCTCTAGGTCAAGGCTTGACTAATCACTTCTAAACCCATTCTATGGTAAATAACCTCATGTCTTGCCATCCTCTTCAAAGTAAGCCCCACTCCTAGAATGGGTTTGAAATGGCTTTCATCCAGGTTCTCTGCTTTCTTGCTTTAATTTCTTAGGTTTGTACTCTGTCCAACCTCTTTAGTGTGGTTTCTTCCCCTTTTGGTACATTACACTGTGTGCTGGAATTTTCTTTGTCATCATTTGGCAATTTCTTTTATATTCAACCCGTTTGACATCTGTAAAAATTGAATTAAATCATGTCGTCCCATTGCTTAACCTTACTCAATAACCTCCTGTTACATTCAGTAGAGGCGGTGGGAGAAGAAGAAAGAAAAAGAAAAAGAAAGAAAGAAAGAGGGGCGCCTGGGTGGCTCAGTCGTTAAGCATCTGCCTTCTGCTCAGGTCCTGATCTCAGGGTCCTGGGATCAAGCCCCACGTCGGGCTCCCTGCTCAGTGGGGAGCCTGCTTCTCCCTCTTCCACTCCTCCTGCTTGTGTTCCCTCTCTCTCTGTGTCAAATAATAAATAAAACTTAAAAAAAAAAAAAGGAAGGAAGGAAGAAAGGAAGGAAAAGAAAGGGTGGAGGGAAAGAAGGAGAGGAAGGAGGGAGGGAAGAAGGAAGGAAGAAAGAAAGATCCTTACTCTGCCTACAAGGCAGAATGACTCTTTCTCCCTCCTCCCCTTCATATCATGCAATTCCTCTCCTTCATACCCTGACAACATTCATCTTCTTGGCAGTCCTTCAGGGCCTGGACAGTCATCTATCTTAAGAGTTTTGCCTAAGACTCTCTCCTTCAGAGCTTGGCTGACACTTGTCTTTCAGGCCTAGGCTTCAACATCTCCTCGGAGTTGAATACTCGAGCTTAGAAAGATTCATCCCTTACTACCAGTTCCCTAAACGAGAGCCATTCTATTTTTTATTTAAACATTACATACTCGTACCTTGTTTTCCCTACTCAACTTTAAGCTCCACAAATAGGAATCAAGTCTGCTTTATACATCACCCTATAGTACGGTTCTGAAATGCTATCTGGTTTATTGATACCCAGTAGATATTTGCTGAAGTAATCAATGAACCTGACTGCCTAAAAGCTTCCCTCAAGTTCACCTATATTTAACCCTTAACAGTGCTCTCTCATCTGCACTCATACTTGGTATTTACTTGTAATGTAAATCTTTATTCTTTTCCACACATTTTCAAGAGCTTTTAAACTTTATTTTTATGGGGGCGCCTGGGTGGCTCAGTGGGTTAAAGCCTCTGCCTTCAGCTCAGGTCATGATCCCAGAGTCCTGGGATTGAGCCCACATGGGGCTCTCTCTGCTTAGAGGGGAGCCTGCTTCCTCCTCTCTCTCTCTCTCTGCCTGCTTCTCTGCCTACTTGTGATCTCTGTCTGTTGAATAAATAAATAAAATCTTAAAAAAAAAAACTTTATTTTTATGGAGTCAGAATTTAATTTCTGCTTGAACTTACCACACCCTTAGCCCTCACAATGGGAGCCTTCAAATCAGGAAAAACATTCTCCAAGTACCATTTGAAACTTTTGCATTTTAGTTTCTTTCGAAGTTCCCGTTGCTCGGTGAGGTTTCCAACATCTAACCCTTGGTCTATGAGGTGGTCCCCATGGCCATAGAATAGCTCCTTGTATTCATCGAGCCAGACCTCAGCAACCCGCACCAAGTTCCGCTCTACTGTCTTCATCCGGTCTTTGGGGAAGGAGTATGGATTGTCATTTCTGAATATGTGGCCCACTCGGGAGCAGGGAATGATTTCAATTTCACCACCACACATCCACACCTGAAACAGTTTGATAATAAACATCAATTATCAAATGATGTCCCCAAATCATGGGCGTTAGTTAACAACAACAAAGAACCACCTGGTGACCACTCCCTCCTCCCCCCAGTTTGAAGTAGTTTTGTCCAATAGTTTCAAGTTAAACTCAACAGATTTATTTAGTTTTGTACATTGCTGTGGACCATTTTAGGATTCGTAAAATATATATATATTTTTCCCTACCCTGTAGTGTACTTCTTATTTTATGAAGAAATTCTCACTGAATCCCAAAGTATAAAACATGGAATATGGATTCCTCTTTTGGTTGGATTAAGGAAAGGAGTATATATTTCCATGTTTTCAACTTTCCCTTCTCATCTTGGGATGACCCATATGGAGCACAACTTGAAAATGAGCTCAAAGTAATACCCTTTTTACAATATATCACCCCATTCCTTAGGAAAGCAGTTGCCTTTTGGATTCTCTTTACTTTGGCTGTTGCCAAGACTCGCTTAGCTGTTGATCAATGATTATAAATACCCAGACCTGTCTGAGATGTCCAAAGTTGCTGCACCATTGCCTGTTGATGGCCTGCTCTAAAGGCACTTTTTGTACTTCTGTCACTTGCGCTAACGTGACCCGTTACTCAATGATTTCGTTACTTCCAATATACTAGAAAAACATTCCTGGAGATATTTTGTATGAAGTATGAATCCCACAGCACTTATACAGAATGGCAGACAATTATTTCCCCCATAGTCACATGTAGAAACAGTGTTATAAAATACTAGGGAATTCTAATAAATTTCATGAGAGCCATTGATTCATCCAAATTTAACCTGTGATATTAAAACATTAATCTAGAGGCCCAAAAATTTCAGTGGAATTTCCTCCCTGAGGCACTCCCATATCTAATTATATTAGTAAAATGAAACCAAATGATAAAGTCTTAATTGTAGAGAGAATTTGAGGACCACTTGGTAATACCTTGAAGGAGAGCTCCATATTTTCTCCACCCCAGACATCAAGCCCAGGGTCATATGTTCCAAGTTCAAAAAAGTAATTTTTATCAATAGAAAACAATCCACCTGCCATGACGGGGCACCTACAAAAAGAAATGTTTGTGTTTTTAAGCTTGCATGTCATGGGAATTCACTTTTCAAGTGGGTCCCCTGTGCAATTGTGATGGCATTAAGAGATATTTCAAAATAGCTACCAAGCATGGGGAGGTCTTGGAATGGAGTCACAAATAGCCCTGAAGTCATCATTCCCTGGTTCATGGTGGCAGAGCTTGATTAGGGTCAGGAAAGATGGGGCTTGGAAGTAGGATTCTTATTTGCCCTTTACTCTCTGACACAAACTCTCCAGATAGGTTATTTTTAACAATGCTTATTTAACAGTGCAAAGGGAGTACCAGGCACTGTTGTATTATATATGTACTATCTCAGACTTTATGAAAATCCTACAAGTATGTACCATTAAGAAACTACAACACAGAGGGGCACCTGGGTGGCTCAGTGGGTTAAAGCCTCTGCCTTCGGCTCAGGTCATGATCCCAGGGTCCTGGGATCGAGCCCCGCATCGGGATCTCTGCTTTGTTGGGAGCCTGCTTCCTCCTCTCTCTCTGCCTGTCTCTCTGCCTGCTTGTGATCTATCTGTCAAATAAATAAATAAAAATCTTAAAAAAAAAAAAAAAGAAACTACAACACAGATATGGTTAGTAATTTCCCAAGGTCACAGATTACTATGATGTACATCAGGGGTTTAGTTTAGGTGGTCTGGTTTGACTCTATGATCTCTCACTCCACTCTACTGCCTCAACTGTAGACAGAGTTTGCTGACAGCTTATTAGGTGGCAAACACTTTTTAAAGCATGTCATATAAATCGGATTTAATTCTTAGATGATAGAGGTAGCTCCTTTTTTTTTAGTCTTAATGCAAAATATGATGAAATGAGATTCAGAGAGGTTAAAAGACTTTTTAAAGCTCACACCATTAGGAAGAAGTAGAATTGAGATTTAAATCCAAAGAGTCAGATTCCAGAGCCTTCACGACTATTATAGATTATGGGAGATAGAAGCTACACTTGAATCAGCAGCTGGACAAGGCAGTAATCACTTCCCATGGTGGCTGCCACTGACCCAGTTGAAAGGTTTGTGTGGAGAGCCTGTCTTGGGTTTAGGGTACAACGCAATGTAAGATAATTTCTGCCCCACATCTACTTCCCCTCCCCTACAATTTATGCACATATTCTGTGTGAATGCCCAAATGTCCTTTCTAGTCCATCCAGAATGCATTCTCTTCCTAATGTTACGTGGTATATAATCTGAACTCAATCACTACACTGACCCTCAAAACGGGAATCTGAAAAAGGCAGAGGTTCTTTATTTTATTTTTATTTTTTTAAGATTTTGTTTATTTACTTGACAGACAGAGATCACAAGTAGGCAGAGAAGCAGGTAGAGAGAGAAGAAGGGAAGCAGGCTCCCTGCTGAGCAGAGAGCCCAACATGGGCCTTGATCCCAGGACCCTGGGATCATGACCTGAGCAGAAGGCAGAGGCTTTAACCCACTGCGTCACCCAGGCGCCCTGGCAGAGGTTCTTTAGATGTGGGATCAGATTAAATGTGTTAAATTCAGGCAGATATGGGTTTGAATCCCAATTTGTTCTTTTACTAACTGTATATCCCTGGGAAAATTACCTCTTTTAGGGTCAATTTCCTCATCTCTAAAACGGCAATACTACCATCTCTCTCCTAGGGTAACAGAGAGGGTTAAATGCACAGTGTTTAGTCAAGGATAGTACTCCTACCTGACTCACTAGGAATAACAATTCTGAAGGGATCACACCTAGCAAGGAATGAGGCATGCTTTATTGAGGGTTAAATTCTGAGAAATAGTGCTACAATCCACTGCGGCCAGAGGCTTTCTCTTGGCACTTTGCTGAACTTCTCTCTCCAAGGGGGAAGGCTTTGGGATTCCTGCTGTTCTGCCTGAGGCTGGCTGCATGCTTGTTCTACAGGTCTATACTCTGGGGGAAGTGTTCAGAAGTTCTCACTTTGGCTTCAGGTCTAAGCTGTGTTCTTCAATTCAGCTTCTCCAGCAATAAAGCCTCACTTTTAATTCATATCTTCCTTCTGTATCTATTTCTCAATTCATTCACAGAATTTGGCACCCCTCCCATGGACAGGGTAAGATTAGAATTGAAAAGAAAATCCTGACAGTAGCTATTATTACAATATTTTTACTACTATTACTTACTCTTCTAATTTTTACTCATGTTGGCTTTAACATTATGTGTGTTTATATAGCATTTATGCAGCATATTCAATTAGTATGTATTTCTTAGGTTGTAAACCCCAGAGAACAGGAATAGTATTAGTGAATTTCTCTGGGTTCAGGGTGAATAAGGTGCAATTGACCATACAAAAAATGAGTTTTGGTAGTGGGAAAGTAATACCTTAGGAAAACTTTGCTCACTTTTGATCATCTATTGGTTAAAGTTGTAATTCTTGATGGTCTACAGAATGACAGGAAATACTTGTTTTGTGGAATAACTTCCTACACCTTTATAAAAAGATACATGATTGCTTTCTAATCTTAAATTTCACATACTTACCTTATTATATCTGTTTCTTTAATTCTGTTTTTTGCAACAATGTCTGGAGGAATTGTTCTCCAACCAAAGTTCATGGGCCACACAAAGATACCTCTTTGAAAGTTGTCTACTGTCATGTAACTAACACAGAAAAACAAAAAAACAAAAGTGCTCCCTGAGATCATCACATATACTTAATCAACCTGATACCATGTCTTGTTCAAATGAATGGAACAAGTGCTTACACAAATGATTTTAGATTATCACAAACTTTTTAATAACATTTCAAGCAAATTTATGAGTGCAAGTCATATTAGTGACTAACTGGCTGGATTGTTAGTTTTTAACTTACACTTAACTTTTAATAATGTTCTGACTATTTTTGAGGGGAAAAAACAATTTAGGAACAAATGTATATTTCCCACAAAAAGATGAACTAATCTTAAGGAAGGTAGATATTTTCTGGGTTCAGGTACAGCTGACTAGGAAAAGGAAAGAACTGGACAATGAATATTAGGATTTATTGCTATTAAGAGTTAAGTATTTTGATGACTAAATAAACTACTGGATTGACTTTCTCTGATCCCAAGATATCTATTATGTATTTTCATTTATTTAAATGGATGAACTGTATATTTCTTAGATTTCCAAAAATGTGCATTTTAGGAATATGACCAGTACTTTTTGCTGTTGTTAGTTAAAGATAACTTAGAAGTATCTTGTAGAATATGACAGTATTACCTCATATCCTTATCATTGATGACTTCAATTACTGGACAGGCTACTTTCTTTCTACTTAAATAAACTCTTTCCAGAAGAGGTTCCAACCAACCAACATTACATTCCACGTGAGAATCTAAGAATGTCAACACATCACCTAGAGAGGCAGGAAAAAAAAAATTTTTGAAAATGCAGATTTACTGAGTGTGTGTACTTCATGTTCAAAGGTCTTGGGGATTGCTCCAGAAAGGTGATTATAAGGGTAATAGTCTTCTTACTGAATTCCTGGTCCCTAGAATTTCATTCTATAGTGAAATAAAATGAATTTTGTTTCTAGAAGTCCTTAGGGCAAGCATCATTTTCGCTTGTGAAAACTTGATAAGCCACTTAGAATGGATAGCCAAGACTCTGAAGGGAATCCTTAGTAGTAAAGTTGGCTGCTTTGTCTTTTCTAAGGAGGGTGGGTCCCATTAACCTGGAATGGGGGCCTGTGGACCAGGCAGAGTTTGGTATTCCAAGGTGGGCTTTAGGAATGACAAAAAGGAGAAATCATTCTGCATAACAGGGGTGAAAACAAAAGAGGAAGAATCAGCAAAGCTAGAAGGTAGTGTAAAAAGGGTTACAGGGATAAGGAGGGAGAATACGGAATAGTTTAATGGGTACAGAGTTTTAATTTTGCAAGAGGAAAAGTGTTCTGGAGATTGGTTGCACCACTGTGTGAATATACTTCAGAGTACTGGACTGTGCACTGAAGAAATAATTAAGATTTTATGTTTATTTTACCACAATAAAAAATCAAAAGCTTGCAGGAGAGAGGAAAAAAAGAAAGAAAAAGAAAAAAAAAAAACTTGGAGTCCGAAAAACAAGTATTAAAAATTCTTTTTCCTATTAGTTGTGTGAGGTAACACTCTCTCTGTAGCATCTACATTGTTCCAAATGATTTTACACAAGTGGGGTGTGTGTGTGCGTGTGTGAAGATTAATAATAACCTGAGGAATTTGGGTTATGACCAAAATCCTAGATGTGCTTTTTCAGGCCCAACCATAGCCAAATTACAAAGGCTTTCCCGGCAAGTCCTCATGTGTGGAGGCTGTCCTCTCACACCAGACATGGCCTGCAGCCAGTACACCACAGCCTGTGAAGGGACCTGCAGTCAAGAGGACATGCTCTCAGCATAGCTTCATTCCTAGCTCAGGTTCCTCCATTGGAGGCCTCCTTTAGGCCAAGATCTCTGTCTTACTGCCTGTAGGTCAGGAGGTCTCCAAGACATTTTCCTCCACCTGCCTCAACATTCAGTACTTTCCCACTCCAAGTCCTCTCCTTTTCCCACTGTAGGCCCAGGCTGTAATGTATATAGGAGGAGCCTTTTGTTCTGGGCTCCTTAGGCAGTGAGATGATTCTCACATCTGCCCAATCCACCAGCCCGTTTCTATACAGGGAAACATGGAACACTCAGGGAGTCAGAACTTTCTTCTGTTTCAATTCTTATACTTCCTAGTTATATTAGTGGAGGAAATAAAGATTTGAGTGTTACTTTCCTTTTGGCTTTATTGTTTGAATCGACCACTCTGACACCTGGCTGCTCCCCTCAGCTCTTGACAAACCTATATCAACATCAGTTACCTTCTATTAAGTGCTTACTCTGTGCCAGACACTGTCCTAAACATTCTTCATGGTTGTCTTGTTTAATCCACACAACAAACCGGAAGTATAAATCTAATTTGTCTTTCCATTTAAGAAATGAGATGTAGGTCTGAGTTTTATTCCCATTTAATAGAAACAAAGAACTTAAGCACTTTTTTCAAGTTTGCTCAGTAAAGTGGCAGTTTGCTATTAGAAAACACATAGTTTATTCCATTGCCTGTGTTCCTAAAAAAAGAAAGAAAAAAAAATGGTCATAAAGAGGCAGGGCTATGAGAATGGGAAAGCTTAAAGTTAGCCACTAAAAACTATAAACTACCTCTTAATTAGTGGTTCCATATCTTATTAACTGATCAACAATGGTATTTTTGCATGAGGGTAAAGAAACTGACCTTAGCCAAGGTCTTGCTGAGGAATGTCCTTGAGAAGTCTCCAGGCATAACCAGGCTGTGCTAGATTAAAGCCCCTCTTCTCTTACCCCCAATTTTTGGAGACAATGGTTACAACCCCTATCATGCTGGTGGAGTCCTATTTTCAGAGATTATGGGTTAGTTGATTATGGCTCATAATCAACTAAGGGTGTTATTTTGCACAGCCCTCTCCCTGTGTGGGAAAGTTCACAGGGGTTATCTAGGTATGTTGGGTATGCAAGCGTGGCCTGCTTAAGGTCCCACTTGGCTATGAATAGCATATGCAGAAGATAACCTTCTTTTCTCACTACTTCAACTCTTGGTCCATTCAAACCAAAGAGCAGTCTCTACAGACTACCAGTCCCTATCCCCAGAATAAGCTGGTAGGGTCAAAGATGCCTAGAACGACTTTCTAAATCCCTGGTGGCAGCAGGATGGGTACCCAAACCTACTTTCACTTCCCACCTGGCCCAGATTCCCATATAGATTTTCATTCACTTGTTGCCAGAACCCAAAGGAAGCAGCTTCTGCCCAAAACATAGACTGGAATTTTATACTGTTTTATTTTGGGTGAGAAAAGAATCCTCCCATGCATGAATGTCATTGCTCCACTTTCAGACACTTTCACTTAAAATAAGATCTCCGGAACTAGACCAGGGAGCTGTCTATGTAGCTGACTCTGGCTAGGACTTCTACTTGTAGTGGGTATGGTCTGTGGACATTTCATACACTCTTCCTAACCCCAAGTGTCATGGTGAAATGAACATAGGATCGAAGCCACAGAGCTCTGCTTTCCTTAGCCACACTGGATAATTACTTAATCACTCTGAGATTTACCTTATGGGGATAGTTCTAAGATCTATCTAATACCTAAATTCCTTATAAATAGCTAATGTTATTACTGTTTTTTCAATGAGTGTTTAAGCTAGAGCCCCAAAGAATCCTATCTTGATGACCACGTGACAGGCTTTTCTGTTTCCTGAGTAGAAAAAAGTGAGGCTGGATTGTTTGCAGATGGGTTTGATTGTAACTTATTTATTTATTTACTTTTTGACCAATCTAGAGATGCACAACGGGCCAGAAAGCTTTGGTTCCTTGTTGAGTACAGGCCCCCCATTTCTACTGAGCCAACCAGCTTGGGATATTGTTGCCAGCACCAATTAGTGTTGGCATGTTGTGTTTAGGGTTCTTTGAGGGATGTGGGCCTGGCTGGCTGTTTAATTTTACATAATAATTTATAAGTGATGCTAAGGAAACCATCTGTTTTACTTGCAACAGAAACAAGTTGTAGAAATTTACTGAAGGACTATCACTTTTCAGGAGACCTCAGGGCTGTCCAGGAGTCAGATGTCATTTTAGTTCACATACTTAAAGTTAGCCAACTGATTCTTTGGAATGCTCACAGCAATGTCATGTATTTTGCCAAATGCCCTTGTTATAAAGGAAATGAGAATCTGATCTCTACTTTGACTCTCCAGAGTGTACTGTTAAACCTGCCCATGGAGACTCATCTTGGCAGGGCAATAACTTGCTCTTTTGTTCAATACTCACATGAGATCTGAATGCTCGGCTTGTTCACTTTGTACCTCAATTACTGCATCTCTTTTTACTCCTGTTGGCTTCCTGCAGGACACTTTCCCTAGAGACCCACTGACCCTGGACTGCTGTTCAGATTTTTAAGTCCTACTTGAACTTTGTGTCTCCTTCATCTCAGGAAATGACTGATTGAAACTGATCTTTTTGCCTGAATCATATCCAGATGAAGAACCTGTCATACACTGGAAACTGAACATGTAGTGAACATTGCTAGTGGTCAGAGAGTCACTGTTTTGCCCTTATTATTTCATATTACATACTTTTGGAGAGTTTAATAAAACCCTGGGACCAAAATGGGGCCATCTGGCTAGTTTCTGTAGGTCCTTGGATCTTTGATCTCATCCTTGCCTGTGGCTTCCCCTCCCTTTTCTCTGAATCCTAAAGGAAAAATCCTTTAGGAAACAATAGCTGTCAGGGCCTGTCAGATTTTGAATTCAAATTCTGTCTCTCATCTCTTTGTTTGGCTGAGGAGGTCTAGAGAAAATTTCTGCTCTGGTATCTTTGCTGATCTCTGATTACAGAGACTTTTCAGGCCCACAATGTCTCCTGCCTGTGCTTTACTTGTGATGGCTGCGGAATGCCCAGGGAGAGTCTGGGAGAACGAACAGGCTGGCCAGCCCCACTTAGGGCCAGTCCCCGAATGGTCCTTGAATTATTTCCTCAGCCAAAACTGGTACAGACTTCTGAATCCCCTTGAATTTCCCACAGGAGTCAGGTACACTTTAGGGCTTTTGGATGTATCCTTCGACAAGGCTGTTACTAATCCCAACAGAACACACTTTTCAGCTTCTTTCCAAATTCAGGGATTGGTGTCCCACCAATGCTACTCAAAGTGTGGGCCACAGACCCTGCCATCAGACACAGGAACAGAAATTGAAAATGAATGCTTTAAAATTCCAGCAGGTTGCTGGAATTTGTTAATTTATTCTCTGTTTTATATATGTGTATGTATATAACTTATATGTCATTATTTATGTTGTGTATTTATGTTATGTCATTTTTTATGTTATGTATTTTATCTATGTTATATATACATACATGTATATGTTATACATAATAAATTATGCATATATCTATACACATATAGTATAGATGTATGCATATATAATTGTGATTATAGCTTTATTTTTTCTATTTCTCTCTTAGGTAGTTTATCTTTATTATAATTTACAAAGGGGTGGGTCCACAAAATTTGGAAATTAGAAAGAAAAAAAGTTCTTCTCTGATAGTTTGAGAAGCAACTCTTCACTAGACAGTGGCAAGCATTTAAGATGCACCTAGCTGGACTCTCTAAACTAGAGTTGTGACCCATTAGCAAGTGATTGCAACAATATGGTGAGCTTTGTCAGACTCTAAGAAACAAATAAAATAGAAAAGAAGGTATTAGAACCTGCTACACATGTTATTTCATGAAATGTCTACTGTAGTTATATGGGTAACATATATATGCACTGGGTTGTGATGTAAGATTTATTTCTTAACATGGGTCATGGTCCAAATAGTTTGAGAGTTACCCAACAAAAACTGAGCTAATGTGTTCAAGCGTGCTAATGACTGACTGAGAGCCAAGTTTATATTTTTACATTTGGATTTTCTAAATTCAAAGAAATTATTTACTGGCTGTATAAACTCAAGTACTTGAGCAGGCCGATTAGGCAACTGCTTTGAGCGAGTTCATGCAGCCCATCTGAAGAGGACTCCCGTGTTGTCTAACAGTTTGGACTCTTCTGGAGATCATCGCCAGCATGCTCTGTGCTCCAGGCAGGCACAGAGAAGGTTTTTATAAGCAGTACATTTTTGGTTCTGCGCTTGTCAGCTTTCTCTACATGGATGTCTCATTTTCATCTCAAATTTACATGGACAAAATCAGAACTCAACTGTAATCCCAAATCTGTTCCTCTGGTTATGGCCCTACAGCCCACCAAGTTGCTCAGATGCCAATTCTAGGGTTTTGTTTTGTTTTCTGGGGGGTTTTTTTGGGGGACTCCTTTCATTATTACTCTCTTCATATCTTATCTGATGACAAGTCCTGTGGTCTCCATGTCCACAATATAGTTTTACTCTGACCTTTTCCTTCCACTGTACTTCTACCTCCCTTGTGCTTGGACAACTATAATAGCCTCCTTTTTTCCTCTTTAAGATTTTTAAATTTATTTGAGAGAGAGAGAGAATGAGTAATGGGAGCGCAGAGGGAGAGAGAATCTTCAAGAAGACTCTCCTCTGAGTGCAGAGCCAGCTGTGGGGCTCAATCCCACCACCCATGAGATCACAACCTGAGTCGAGGCTAGAAGTGGACACTCAACTGACTTGAGTCATCCAGGTGCTGCTATGATAACCTCTTAATTGGTCTCCCTCCTTCCTCTCTCCTCTCCCTAATACCCATTGTCTAAATTAAGCCAAACAATTTTATCCTCCTCTTTAATGTACTTCATTGGTTTCATATGATACCAAGAATAATGCCTACACTCCTTGAATGACTCAAAGCTTTACAAAAGCCCACCTTTGCCTTGCCCCACAGATGAATCTCCTGTCACTCTCTCCAGGCTCAGCACTCATCAGCTATAATAAGCTTTCCTTAACTTTAATACACAGAATATATTTCTCCACCAGGACTTTGTACTTCTTTTTCCACTTGCCTGGGAAGGTTCTTCAACCAGATCTTAGCCCCAAACTTCCCCACTTGGACTATTTCCTTACTATCCTATTTTTGTATCATTTGCGTGTAATTATTCCCAAAAGAAATCAAACATGGATTTTTACTTAATGTTTCAAATGCGGTCTATCATTAAGAATCTTAGTTATCACCGCAATGTCAATTTTGGTGTGATGTATTTGTAGTTTATTTTAGATTTCCATTACAGGCCAAAAAAATTTGTTAGCAAACCAATGGGATAAGAAAAGTTCAAAATTTGGGGTCTAGTTATAAGGAAGTATAACTAGATGAGCAGATAATTTATCATTAAAACATGCTTTTAAATGCAGGGCACCTGGGTGGTTCAGTCAGTAGCATCTGCCTTTTGGCTCAGGTCATGATCCCACGGTCCTGGGATGGAGCCCCACATCAGGCCGCTTGCTCAGTGAGGAGCTCCTTCTCCATCTGCCTCTCCCCCATCTCATGTTCTTTCTCTCTTTCAAATAAATAAATAAAATCTTAAAAAAAAAAAAAAGAACATGCTTAAATTCAAGCTGGTGAGATCAGTAATGCCATAGCTTAGAGCAAGAGTGGCTAGATGTCTAGAGGTACGAAAATGTAGCAGATAAGAGTGCAGATTTGGAGCTAAGTTTTCTGGGTTCCAATCCTGCTGTAGCACTTACTAGCTGGGAGAACTTAGGCAAGTCATAACCTCTCTGTGCTTCCATATCTTCATCTGTAAAATGAGGAAAATTATTGTACCTAGCTCCTAGAGTTATTGTGAGGATGAAATCAATTACTGTAGAAAGTATTTAGAATGGAACCTGGTACATAAGTTCAGCTATTATTACAGGGAATAGGTCTTTCCACAGAAGGCTGTGAAAATAAATCAATATGTTTAATGTTTTTTTTAGAGTACTCATGGGCAGAAGAGATTTGGCTCCTCCCATTCACTCATCAACACCCACACACTAAAAAGAAGTGAAGAGAAGAAGATTATATTGCTCTTTGGGAAGACAGCACTATTAGAAGAGCAGACATGCACATAGGTCAAGGAAGAGAAAAGTAAACAATTCTAAATCCACAAATAACAATGAGATGAGGTCAAAAAAGCATAAGCTTGAAGGGGCTCCAAGTGGTCCAATTTGGGACAATCTGAGTACAATAAGTAAATAAATAGATAAATGAAGGAAGGAAAGAGGGAAGAATAGACAGAAGAAAGGAAGTTAATAATATACACATAGAATTTTTTAAAGCATAAATGCCTGCTGATGGGAGCATAAGAGGGGAAGAGGAAAGAGAGAGAGAGAGAGAGAGAGAGAGAGGAAGGGAGGAATAAAAAGAGGGAGGGAAGGACAGAGAAATGGACAGCCTTCGGTGTAATAATTGATTCAAGTAATTATCATCAATGGGTACAAAACCATTGAGTAAAATATAAGAAAAAAAGTATTCATATGGATCAAAGTATCACATTACAAATACTTCCTACCCCATAAGAAAAATCTGGTTGTCAATATTTTAACCAAATGTTCAAAATTACTATCATCCACAGTGGGACAACCTGACATCATGTGTCAATGATTTGAAGCCATTAAGCAATATGTAATTCCTACCACCTACATAATAGAATATTACGAACTATTCATGCCAAAAACATTTATCCTGAATGTAACATCAGGAAACAATGAGAGAATTTCAGAATGTGGTCCCATGGACAAAACAAATGGCCTGGACTCTTTAAAAACACGTCAACAGGAAGTAGTGTGTTGTCTACGCTAGACTGAGGAGCTGGGAAGACTAAACAACTAAATGTGGTGCATGAAACTTAATAAGATCTCAAATTTCAAAAGAGAGAAGTAGCTATACAAAACATTTTAGGAGCAATGAGGAGGTCTGAAAGAGTATAAACCAGATGATATTTAGATAGGGAAGTGTGCTTATCTAAGAGAATGTCTATATTTTGCAGAGATGCCTACTAAGGTACAGAGAGCTGTAGTGTCATGATGTCTGTGAATTCAAAAGTTGAAGACAAAACTGTGTATGTATAAACACAGGTTTGTGTATGTGTGTGATGAAGCACATGGTGCAGAAAGTTAAAATTAGTGGCATGATGATGGCCATGTGGGTGTTCACTGAAGTATTATTTCAAGTTTGCTATATATTTGAAAGCAAATAAACTAAAACGAAAATATAAGTAAAACAAAGAAGAATTGGCACCTTTTTACCTGTTGCATTCTGTGCTCCCGCCAGCCTGGCTCTTATTAAGCCATGTCTCTCTTTGAGACGAAGAATCCGAACTTTTGGAAACTGAGACATGTATTTATCCAAATTACCTTTTAGGTAGTCTATATCACAGTAAGAACAGACAAGGACACATGTTAAGTAACAAGATCGGGATAATACGAGCAGTGGCTTCTCAACATCAAATTCCAGAAACCATGTTTACTGTAGTCAGTAAATTTTACTCCTCGGAGCATGATTTTATTTTCTGATGTCATTTTCTTGGGTGAATTTTTTTCTGTATTCAATAGTCCAAGCTATCTGTTTCTCAAATTCCAAATCCTTCTTTTTAGTGTTGCCAAGTGATGCATAGGAGGGCTCATCTTTTCTAAATATTTGTCAGGACAGGGGCAAATTTGCCCTGAGATAAATGAAACTCAGGTTTCTGTACAAAATTCCTGGCTTACAAAGACCCCTTCCAAGACCCAGACCAGAGGCTAAACATTGTATACAAACTGGAAAATTTGTGAAAGAAAGATATTACAGCTGCAATTGGTTAAGGGCACTGTCACTTCCCTACTATGATGCCATCTGAGCCATACCTCTTTTGTTTTTTGGGTGGCCAAGGAGGAATCCATCTAAAGGAATGTTGTTGGGGTTTTATGGGATGTATTTACATGACTTGCAGTCACTTCTATGTGTAATTAAGCTATTGACAGATATCCCAGGTAGGAAAGGTTTCCAGAAGTACTTCTGCTGCTCACTTTCCTACTGACTTTGTGGGATTTTTTTTTTTTTTTTTTTTTTTTCCTTAAAGAGGACCCTGAAAACCATGTAAGCTCTAGATCTCTCCAAATGGTTCTTCAGGTCCTTGGATCTGTCATTCATAAAAAGACTGTTATTTGCTTGGTGAATGGATACTATTTCTGTTTATGCTTTCAAGGCCCTTTCTCAAGATTTTCAACTAGTTTTTTGTTTGTTTGTTTGTTTGTTTGTTTTTAAGGCATTTTAGTGCTAATGGACCTCAGGGTGATTATGGTAGGAATTCTGAGGCTGATGAAACTGGCTCATGCCATTTTGGTCATGAACAGAACTGAGTTGTTCTATTGGGGCTGTCCTCTCTTTGCTATTTTCTAAAATTTTCTAAAGTGCGTTGCATTTTGGGAATTTGTAATGTGGTGGCTATGGGACCTCAGGTGGAAATGGACCATTTACATACACAAATTATGTGAGGACCCCAAGAGGAGATTCTTCACTTCTTCCAGACCGTTTCTGCCTTTGCACTCTGTTGAAGCCTCATCTCTTTGGTTCTTTTGGTAATTTGTCTTCTCAACACTTAACACATAACTTGCTTTGCTATTGAGGAAGAAACCATCGGCCTTCCATTTCTTTGTTTTCCATAGAGTCTAACTCTGACTTGTTATTACCACTGGGAAAGGCATCCTATTAATTGTGAGGGTACTAGCTTATTAGATTTCATAAAACCGTTGAGTATCTTCTGGTCTCTGGGATTTCAAAGTGCTCCAAGGAGCTATAGTTAGAAAATCATTTCTACATGGCAGAGAAGGCACTGTGGAAGGGAAGTCTGAGACAGCTAACTGAAGATAGAATTCACTTTCTATATGCCATAGATGCTTGGCTTTATGCCTTCAAAGCACCACATGAAACAATGATTTGATATTTTTGCCATCCACCCAAACTGCTATTGCCTCATATCAAACTTCCAATTTTTCAGGAGTGGTTTTCCTACCTTTGGTGCTGAAGTCATCCACCAGCAGAATCTCCTTGATGAGATGTGGAGGAGAGCGATTAAGGACACTGTGAACAGACCTCAGGAGAGTGGACCACACTTCATCCACAAAGCACATGATGACACTGGTGGTTGGGAGGTTATTGTGAACGAGCTGCTCTGCACACCTGGGCCAGGACACAAGCAGGACTCATTTTAAAACTAATGAGATGGTTTTACAAGTCACAGAGGGCAATTGTATATAGATATACATACACTCACATGTTCTGTTTATCTGTTTGTCTGTTTATTCATTCATCCATCCAACATCTACTATATATATCAGTGATGATTTTATCATATGTTTTTCTTGGGGAGGGTTATAAACAAAATAGACAGCAGAGTAAGAATAGCCAGTAACAGTAGTTGCTGTGAAAGGACTAGCAATGCAAGATACGACGTGAGAAGTCCCTGTAGCGAAAACTCGCTGTCGTGGACAGGAAGGACATAGGCTTTGCAGGTGGTTAGACACTATTTTGAATCTCACCCCCAATATTTCCCAGGTCTTTATCCATTGATACCATACTTAATCACTCTGTATCTCTGCTTCTACATCTTTAAAATTAGGTAAAGTTTCTTATTCAACAGAGCTTTACAGTCTAGTGAGAACACACATGAAATGTCTAGCACAGTTCCTGGCATAGGAATTCACCAAATGGTAGCTAGTGCTATCCTCCTTAGACCATATACCACAAGAGAACACTCTGACTTATTTAATGTTACCAAGTAGTTTCTGATTGCCCTTCCAAAGGGCCTCCTGCCAAATGCCAAAGGAAATATTTTTTCTCCCACCTTGCATGTGAGTGTATTTATGGATGTATATGGAGATATATAATTAAACTCTTCATCTTCTCTATCTATTTAGGGGTTACTTGCTGAGACTCTCTGTGCTACAGAGTAACCACAGTTGAAATAAGTCCTGGGATAGAGAGGAGGATAAGGCTACAGTGGGAGTTGGTATTCAGGTGGGTTGTAATTGGTCTTGGGTTTTTTTTTTTTTTTTCCCCACACCCTGCAATGTGTACTGCCTCACTGCTGGCATTCTTCCAACCCCTGCCTGTTACTCTTCATAGGAGGGTGCCGAGTGGAACCTCACGAAGAGTATTTGCCATCCTCTAACACAACTACTGTTATAATGTCATAATTAAATTATAATGACCATAAATAAATATTATAAGCATGCTGTATTATTTCAATTTAAACCAACAACATCTCTTCCCTTTTTTATGGATGAATAATTAAAATCATGGCAAGGCAATTCATGATTATACTGTTAGTAAATGGCAGAGTTGAGACTCAGACTCTGTCCAGCCTGGCTCCAGAAATAGCTATTCAGGAAGCCTTAAGTTCTCAAGAATAAAAGAAGCCGGTAGCAGATGTAGCATTTTGTGGGAGCAGGCACTTCTGCCAGACGACATAGCTACACTTTGCTTAGTCCCTAAAAAAGAAATAGATGAGAGCAAAAACCATAGTAAAACCATATTTCCATGCACTCACCATTTATCAATAGTACTTAATAAAGTATTATCATGTAGATAACTATAACAACTGTCTGAGATCCATATTTTTACCCTCTTCTCTAAATAGAGCAAACTGAAGCTGGAGAAGTTAGATGGCTTATCCAATATGATTCACCTAGAAAGGATATATATGGAAATGTGAACAAATTGTTGTCATTCCACTGCACTATCCTGATTTTTCTGTACTAAGAGCATGGGTTTTGGAATCAGATAAGTATGTGGTCAAATACCAGATCCCCTAATTACTGGCTTAGATAAATTGTGTAACTCCTTTGAACCTGAATTTGCCCGAGATTAAGAACATCCAAGCAGAGATGAAGAATGGATTTATTGTGAGATTAAGTGCAAATATTTTGTAAAACTCACCTACTATTTATCTGACACACAGCAGATACTTAAGAAAAGATAGGCAAATCCAGCTTTGGTCTGTACTTTCAATGGTTCCCTAAAGTGGATGGTTATGATACTAACCTACAAAGCCTTATGAAAACATACATAGCCAATCACTAGCCCCAGAAATTCTATCCAGCAGTTCTGAATAGTCCCTGAGAATCCGTGTCTTAAAGAACAAACAAACAATGTAAGTAAAGTTCTACAAACAATTAGACGACCCACAAGTTGTGATAGGCCAGTTTGGGAATCTGAGCTCTAAGACAAAGTGGACTTAATTTTACTTAACATTGGTAGATAATCTTTAAAAAAAATATATTTGAGGGCTAATAGGAGCATGTCCCAAATCTTCAAGTGATATAAAATCAAAATGATACATTTTTACCAGATACCCTGATCTAGTAATCAGGTACCCAGTGTTAACATCAACTAGTAGGCAACTCAAACTGATCTGATTCTACATTAGAGATCAACGAATTGGCATTTCTAAATAATGCGAGATATCCCTAAGGGCTGTATTAGTTTCCTGTGGCTGCTGTAACAAATTAAAAAAAAAAAATCTGCTTATCAGTTTCTTTCTCAATTTATCTCTTTCTTCTCACATTTTACTATGAAAGAAAAGAAATACCAGTTCACACCCTCAACATCTGACTTGGAATTCTCTTCAGTTAACTATCTAAGTTCATGGCTTACAATTTCTGCTTCCACACAGCTATTGGACACAATTTAGACAAAGTTTCTGCCACTATCTTGTGAGGGTCATTGTCACTCCTGTTCCCAGTATTGTAGTCTACATTTACTTCTGAACCCTCACAAGATGCACTTAGAATGGTTATATTTTTTACCAACATTCTGTTCAAGTCGGTATGTGTATTCTTAAAGAGGACAGAAGCTTTCTTTTCTGTACTTCTCACTTCCTTCCAAGCTCTCACCTGTAGCATCTTTAATATGTATGTTTCTACCAACAATTTCTTCAAGGCAATCCAAGGTTGGCCTGTTGTGCTTCTCAAAATTTTCCCTGCTTTTATCTATTATTCAATTCTTTCGATATTACTTGAATAATCCTTCCACATTTTTAGGTGTTTGTGACAGCAGCAACCCACTCTTTGAAACCAAATTATATTAGTTTCTTCTGGCTGCTGTAACCAAGTTCATAGCTTAAAAAAACAGAAACATATTCTTTCATGGTTCTGGAGGCCATAGCATTAATTTATTGATTTTATTTCTTATTTTCTGCATCCAGAATTTCCTGCTTACTACAATGCTTCTAGCATAGTTACACATAATTAATATTTGGCAGATGTGTATTAAATGGGTGGATAAAAAAATGGAAATGGAATGGAGCTTAAATCAAAAGATTAATGGTGGAAAAAGAGATATTTTTCTTTGAGATAGGAAGAAAAAAGGTGGTAATGTATACAGATGAGTTTATGCACAGAGAAGTTGAAAGAATTTGTAGCTCATGTTGGAGGAAAGGTTGTTTGTTAATGTGATAGGGTAGGGCTTTGAGAAGAATAGAGAGTATTTGGAACTGACACTATGAATAATGGGAGGGAGTACTGGCCAACTACTTATGAAAGGATTTCTGAGGGGCACTGAGTGCTTTCCTGAATTAGGAGATCTGAAAATTTTAGTCAAAATGCTGGTGTGATTTACTCCACCAGGGTCTGTCAGCCTTAGTTTAGGAGGAGATAAAAGAAGATTGGTAAATTAATCCAAGTCTAGGGGTCATCAGAGCAAATGACATAGAAAGGAAAATGGTAGAGGATTTTGAGGATACTGGTATAATATGGGTAAAAGTTCCATCGTGAACTATATGTTGGGAGAGAATAAGTAAAGAAAGCTAAGAGGAGTTTAATAGCTTGAGAAAGACATCAGTGACTCCCTATGACTTCCTCATCTCTAATTTTATAATGCAAATGGATGGAAAATGCACATTTTACACTTAAATACTCCTTACACCATTCAGTGCTAAGAAAAATAAACCAGTTCTAAAAAGAAAGGGTCAGCTGCACAAATTCTGCCAGATCCGTCTGAACCAACACGCCTCTCTGTGAAGTCCTGAGAATTGCTTTACTGTTAAAATTTGGTTGATATTAGAAAATCTAGTTATAAACGAGAATACATCGGGGAGTCAACCTTGTAGGCTAACGCCGAGAATCTTCTCCTATAATAATAAATCAGTAGATTTTTGGTCTCTTTTAGAAGGAAGTTCCAAGAAGTGTTGTCATATTAGCCAGTTTGAAATTAGAGATTGGAAGAGCTCTCAGAGATTTGAGATTTGGGGAGAGGCACCTCCATTAACCAAATATCTGAGCTTCCATTCTCCCCATCCCATCATGGTGCCTTAGTTTTAAAGTTAGAAATCCAAATGGGTGGGGTCATGAAGGATTCCACTAGATGCCAGAATCCCAGGAAATAAGCAGGAAATCTGCCAATTATTGGCAGACATGTATTTCGGATGCATTTAAAGAACCCACTGAAGAGGACTCTGTGGGAGATTATATTGTACAGGTCACACTGGTGCCTGGAAAAAGAGGCAGCATCAAAGGATGGGGAAAAGGGGCACAGAAGGAGCTGAGAGAGACTGGAAATACAAAGTTACAGAGTGTGCCTTGCTTTGGGTGGCTGAGAAGTCGGGCCACGCTAACATTTATATGTACCTGGTTTCTTGCACAACTCAGCAGGGCAAACAAGTTTCCAGGTGTCTAGTAGCTAGCTAGCTTTGTTTAAAGGCGCAGTGCATCGGACCAGAAGGGCTTTCCACATTAACGCCTGCACCCTTTTTATATACTGACAGTCATCTAGGTTACTACAGGTGGTGAAAAGAATTTCAAATGATCCTCCACTGACCAACTAAAAGCAAATTTCCTTTCTTCCTATTTGCCTCTTGGAAACCCTGCTTTCTGCTGTAGTGAGGGGAGGAGTTGCAGCTCAGGTGAAGTCTCATTTAAACGCAAACTATTCCTGGGTTTGTAATCTTTTTTGAGGTCAAGAAGTCATATTTTTATTCTAGATGTTCATCCATTTCACAAGTCAGGTGTTAGAGCCCACAGACTCCGTGCTATTTCTAAAAACTAAGCTGATCTGTTCCGTTTGGGGGAAACCTGGACTTACATCATGGCGGCCAATCCAGGTACCGACCTAGTTAATGGAGGCTCTGACGTGAAGTCAAGCTGACCAGCACGTGGCTGAAACTACTTTGGTGGAACAGCTTT